GACAACTATTAATTAATTATTTAACATATATTTCTGATAATTATATAGAAACCTGTTAAATAGCATAAAAGTTTTAATTACTTATGTCATTAAAAAAAAAAGCACCAGAGTAAATAGCAAATTTCCCTCCAACTACATTTAAATTTAAAATAATGAGGCGATAATTATTGATTGTTATTAATAGAAGTTAAACATAGACAAAAATATGCATAGTAGAGTTTTAACACAACTACACTAACAATTTCTACTACATTCATTTCCTTGTTTAATATCTAATAATGATAGCATGATGGGCAAACAAAGTCTACACGATATACAGAGTGTTGAAAAATATTTGTTAGTTATTTATTCCATTACAGGCACAAAAATTATCTTTTTATTTAATAAGAAGAAAAGATTTATTAGTGTCAATCAGTGAAAATTTATTACCTATTTCCTTGTTGTGACCAATACGATATCTATGAATTCATTTAGTATTTGCAACGTCTGATGGTGCTATCGTGGGTGCGAAAGGCTCTTGCCAATCTTACACATACAACGGATAAATAATTAATACAACTAAACAAATAGAGGTTCGGTAATACAAAACTTTAATACATAGATATTAAATCGACCTTGCTATTTTTAAAGGAAACATTAAAATGATATTTTTTTAAGTAACCAATTAGCAATATCTATTTTCGCGATGATAAAAAAACGGAGGTGCCGAGTCATAAAATGATGAAGTCACAAGTTAACTGTTAGAATCAATAAGAATTACGTAATACCTCAACCTAACTGTAAGAATACAAAATTTATACAGGGCGTTTCGATGACTCATATGTGTGTTCTCGTTTGGCTTGATTGTATGCAAACTAGCCAAACAAATGTAACTATTTTAATAGAAAATCATTTTTTTACTAATACATGGTAGGCATTATTACGAATTTTGGATAGCTTGCGTATCATCTAGTTATCTAATTTAGTTAATTTTCTAGTTTGGTTAGTTTATAATAAATTTTAGCCAGCTGATTCATACTATGTATGCTTTCTACAAGTTTACATTGTAACTGCAAACAGGTCATGAGAAAAAGTAGAGAGTGCCACCTATTAACTCCTAATATTACCAACACGTTTTCATACCTTTTACTATTTACCAGTCTTCTTTAAAAAGAATAATTAAACAGGTAAATCGGTTAACATAAAAATGTATAAATAATTTATAGAATTACCTTTTAACATAAAAAGAATTAATTCCAGAAAGCTGTTTCATTTTAAAGTCGACAGATAAATCAATTAGCAGAATGTCGTGTATAATTTTGCTAAAACTAAGAACTCTAAATTTATTTCACATATAATTGCGATAATATTCATAAAATTCCTGTCACGCCAAATACTAAGAAATCTTCGTTTTCCTCAAAATAACGCTATACCATTTCCTTAGTAACACCAAATGTTACAAATACAACAATTACGTTTAGATTTCTAATATGGAAATTATATACCTACAGAAATAGATCATATAGATAAATGGCGCCATCATTATTACAATTTGTCTTGTGTTTCGCAGGTAATTAATCATTTTAATGATCTATTAGGGTATTTACATTTTTATACTAAATAATCGGTCGATTGTCTATTATATATAATATTATGTATAATTCAGATCAAAATCATTTTGTAAATCACCTTCATCCTGTATTAATAAGGATAGAGCAATTTTGTGCCGTTAAGGGCGATAATGCACCATTTAATGTGCAGTTAGAAAAAATTACTTACAATTTAAACTAATCAAGTTATTTAAGAAATTATCGGAAATTATTTTTCTTATGATACCCATATTTATGTACAATGTGAATACGAAAATTCGTTCTCGTTTTTGGGTCATCAATATACGTCCTCCGATATCGTTTTCAGGACCGGACTGGGTGGTATTGGTCGCGGTCTCGGGCTGCCCTACTTTCTTTTTTTATCATAACCCAGACCACAACTACAATTTTTCTTGATTTCAAGGACGGAAGTACAATATAATCGTCCGGGGAGGGTTGTGCTAAAAAATAAAGTGTGGCACCCCCTTCAGATTAGGCACGTGATATATTACTATGATCATCTGGACCAACACTAGCCAGTCCGGCTCTGAAAACGATTTTACAAACGCTGGTAAACATTGCTTTATATAAAAAAATATTTTAGTAACTTCAAGGCAGCCCCCAATTTTTGATAAAGGACGTAGATTGGTGACCCAAAGACGACCCGATAAAAAAGAAAGTTGTCCCCCAAAAATTAAAAAAAAAAAAACAAAAATATTAAACTTTTTTAAGCGTTTTTTAAACCCTATAATAACAGTCGCATTTAAAATCTCATTAACCTCATAACTCAAGTGCTTTAAACTCCGTAACCTTCGCATTTAAACCCTACAATCCTGAAATATGACCCGACCCTTCAACCATATAACTCGGGAGACAACTAGCCAATGCACTAAATCAATTTATGTCAATGTTATTATTTATTTACCTATCAATTGAATGTTTTAAATTTTTCAATTTCTTCGCTTATGCCATTAGTTTTGTCTGACCGGTTTGACCCCCCTGATTGACTCCTTTTTGGGTGGCTAGTCCGTCCCTGGTCGTTTTCATTTATCATTGTTATTATTTATTTACATATCAATTTAATGTTTTAAATTTTTCAATTTCTTCGCTTATGCCATTAGTTTTGTCTGACCGGTTTGACCCCCCGATTGACTCCTTTTTGGGTGGCTAGTCCGTCCCTGGTCGTTTTCATTTATCATTGTTATTATTTATTTACCTATCAATTTAATGTTTTAAATTTTTCAATTTCTTCGTTTAGGTCATTAGTTTTATCTGACCGGTTTGACCCCCCCGACTGACTCCTTTTTAGGTGGCTAGTCCGTCCCTGGTCGTTTTCATTTATCATTGTTATTATTTATTTACCTATCAATTTAATGTTTTAAATTTTTCAATTTCTTCGTTTAGGTCATTAGTTTTATCTGACCGGTTTGACCCCCCCGACTGACTCCTTTTTAGGTGGCTAGNCAATTTAATGTTTTAAATTATTTAATTTGTTCGCTTAGGCCATTAGTTTTATCTGACCGGTTTGACCCCCTGATTGACTCCTTTTTGGGAGGCTAGTCCGTCCCTGGTCGTTTTCATTTATCATTGTTATGAAAAGGTGCAACAGTGACAGTATGCGAATCTATGTTCCTATTAAATTCAATATTAAATAAAACTGAAGCCATAACAGTCAGCTTCACCTTCAAACGAAAACAATAAATTGTCATTACTGCTTGTTACAAACGTATTGTTCTCTGAGCCTTGAGTCTAATAAAAATTAAAGTATAAGGTTATTCCTGGTCGCTGATTTATATTTAGTTTCATCACGTAACCGACACATTAGTATTTAGTCGATTTCGGCGTTCTGAGCTCATATTCAAATATGGTTAAAAACTAAAAGATACCGGCGCCAACTGAACCTTTAGCCGAATCATCAAATATTGCATTTGATTTGACAATAGGGTAGCTGAAGTTTAGCAAGCTATAATGTTAAGGGGAATATAATACAAGACTGTACTACAATAAATGATTATTATTTCTTATTTCCAAAACTAATGAACATCAATGGATTATTTCAAAAAACCAGAAAAGAAAATATGTTACTTAAAATAGGATCACTTCGTTGTCTGTCTGTCTGGCTCTCAAGGCCCTTTTTCTCAGAAACGCGTGGAACTGTCAAGACCTTTTTTTCTATTGAAAACTTTCGAAAATTTAAATTATTATTTTTGTATATCTATTGCACGTAACACAGCCTTTTTTCCTTTTAGATAGAACAGTTCTCCTGTGGGATACAAAGGATTTGACGCAAAAAGAACACAAATCATTAAGAATAAACGTAGAATTTGATTACGCAACGTTTGTCAAATGGAGTCCGGATTCTAAAGCGTTCATTATCAACAAATTCAACGATAACACACTGGAAGTTTACAAAGTAGAAAAGAAGAAGGACGGTTGGTTAGGACCTGCTGTGAAAGCTGTAACATTCCCCAAGGTAAGTAAAATGGTAAAAACGAGAAAGTTAAATTACGTATTTACATTTAACAGCAAGTAAATATCAAATTAAACAACTATAGTTCGGACGATCAAAATTGGCAAAGTCCACAATAAATTATCTGTGAGAATGGACGTATCTTCTTTCTTGCTTCCACTTTAACTGCTTGTCTACATCCCTTTCTCATTATCATAAGGTCGTCAGTCCTAAGACTGGTTGGACACGCACCTCCACTCTTTACTATCCTGAGCTAATCTTCGCATTTCCCTAAAACTATAACAACCCACATCCTTAACTATTTGCGAACAATTATTTAATCTAGGTCTACCTCTACCTCNCTACATTCATTTCCTTGTTTAATATCTAATAATGATAGCATGATGGGCAAACAAAGTCTACACGATATACAGAGTGTTGAAAAATATTTGTTAGTTATTTATTCCATTACAGGCACAAAAATTATCTTTTTATTTAATAAGAAGAAAAGATTTATTAGTGTCAATCAGTGAAAATTTATTACCTATTTCCTTGTTGTGACCAATACGATATCTATGAATTTTTATTATGAACTTCTCAAAAACTATTAAACCTAGAATAATAATGTTATTACAGTTTTTCTACCAATTTCGATAATTTCACGACGTACCTAAGTAATTTTGAAAATAGATAAGGAAGGAACAATGTTTTCGACAAAATCTCTGCAAATATACCTAAAAACTAAAAAAATGTGTCTATTTTTTGAAATTGTTTATTACTAGACCAGGGGTGGGCACGTGATTTTAGATGTTTTTGAAAATTTTCATCGAGATCCAAAAAACATATCCAACAATATCTACTTGAATCGTTTTGAATTGTTAATTGTTAAATCAGAAAACACGAAGGTAAGGTAAATCTAGCTAATCCTAAATTATCCTGTAAAACAACGTGACAGCAACCCCTAATAACGCAAATAATAATACCGACGAGTTTTCTCGTCGATTATTCAAATTACACTTTCATTTCATTTAAAGAACATTAAGTGAAGCAATACCTACAAAAAGCAATTTTAGAAATAAACACGTTGCTCTTGTTAGCGAAAAGGAGAAAGTTTTGCGAAAATTTTCGCTAATCACTTCCTACACATAATCACGCGGGGAAGTTTGACAACTGCGCCAACAACTTTATACACACACACCTGACCAAGTGCGGGTGAGAGCAACAAGCACATTTATTAGCAGCCGGTGAAAGTAGAAAGTTGGCTTTTCGTAATAATGTACGTACGGCAATAAATGAGGCCGAACCTATTTATTTTTTCATTCATTTCCAAGCTCAGACCTTGGCATGTCACTGCAATGGCAATATCTAAACTTAGATTGCAAAATTTATTAGGTTCGATGACGACAAAAAAGAATTTTTAGAATATGAAATTTGGAAATACGAGGGCGGTTCAATAAGTACCCGTGTTCGAAGACAGAGGACGTTCCTAAGAGAAATTGGTGTTATCATCGTGTGCTGCCATCTATCAAACCACGCCAAAACGTATTTCAGACTAATTGATAGGTTAGTTTGGATTTGGCAGCCAGTCGATTGAGACGTTATTTTTGCTAAGAGGGAAAAAGAGCAGTATCGTTCGGTAGCTCGCTTTTTGTTTTTGGATGGGAAAATGGAGGAGATGAAAACAAAGTTGGATACTATTTATAGAGACATTTCGCCATCTACGACCACAGTTAGATATTGCTTCAACGAATTTAAACGTGGGCAAAGATCCGTTTTTGATAGGAGCGACCAGGAAGCTTGGCAAACGTTCTTACCGAGGAAATCATATTACGGATTTTTTTAGGAAAAGGAAGAACGATCACTGGACAATACTACAGTGAGTTATTGGACCGCTTCGACAAAAAATTGAAGGAGACACGGACGCATTTGACGAAAAAGAAGGTGCGTTTTCAACACGATAACGCACCGGCACATTCATCAGGAGTTGTTGCCGCCAAAATGCATGAATTACGTTATGAATTTGCTGCCGCACACCCCGTACTCACTCGATTTG